ATACTGCCCGCCTTATCATTCAGTGTTCTCCAGAGAGAGAGAGAGAGAGAGAGAGTCCGTGGAATGGGTGGATGGTGTTGGTTATTGTGAGCATGCTTTAGGGAGGGTTGGGGAAGGACTGGAGCTTTGGGATAGGAGAGCCAGGGAGTGTTAACAGGACAGTGGGCTGTTCTGTCAGAGCCTTGAAGGTGATCGGTGATCGTGGAAGAGGTGGTCCAGGAGAGAAGGAAGTTGAGAAGGATTATGGTATGAAGGCGCCCTGCAGCCGTGGAGCAGTAAGTCTGCTGGAGACTGCGGACAGACGTGAGGGATCGTGCGTGCTATGCTGAAGTCGTTTCTTGTCCTCCCATGTTCTTGACTAAGAGTAGCCTCCAGTAGGACAGTAAGAATGAGTGATGTAATGAAGTGATAATGAGTAGTCTAGCATAGGATACGCATATAGACGTGCTTGGTGAATGGAGCTGTTTCTGTAGAAAAGCAGTTAGTTAAGCACGCCTAGAACAAACTGTTCAAGTACTTTTGGTCCTCAAGGAATCTGCCCCTCTACAGTCCTGGGACCAGAATGTCCTTTTCTTGAGTTTTGTTATTGGTAATATGGACATCTCAATCAGTTAGCTCTAAAGATTTAGAATGCTTTAACTTGTTTCACAACATGAAATTTCGATACTATAAACCTTAGAATTAGTGAAACTGTTTCCTTAGCTGGTTCTGAATGTTGCACGCCTGAGATCTCCACACTTGGGAGATGAAGGCGGAAGGCTTGCAGCAAGTTGAGGAGCCTGGGCAACCGTGCAAGACCCTCTTCTTGTGTGAAAGGAAGGAGGTGTTCTGTAGGTGATGAGCTCACTGTGTCACAGTTTCCGTGCAATTTCTTTATTCCTGTTATTCTAAACTTGGAGAAAATAGGCTGTTCGTGTTCATGTCACTCTTCACCTTAAATTGACTTAGAGCTGTGGGCCAGTGAATGTGAACAATGCTTCATTATGTGTTCTTGTCTTTTAGATGTGCTATCCAGAAGCGAAAAGCCGAGGAGAAGAAAGGTACATGTGTGTTTACTTTACTTTGCCCCGTCCTAGTCCTAGTGGTGTCTAAAGCCCTGGGTGAGGCCGAGGCTGCTGCCAGAGGAGGCTTCCAAGGTCTTTGGGCTGCCGTGGCTCTGCTGGTGCTCAGTCTCCAAATGCATCATAGGAAGAAGGCTCGCTCAGACACGCCCAGAAAGTGTGCAGAGCCAGGGTGCAGGCAGCTTGATTGGTGCAGCGGTTAGCACCATCTCGCCAGTTATCCTCTGGCGTCTTCAGGAGTTAGGGGCACCCGCAGTGTTGGCCTTGGGGGTGGCTTAGAGGAGCACTCCTGGACACATGCTGTGCTGATATTCATGGCAGCACTGGACTTCGCCAGCCTGAGCCCCATGTTAGGGAGTATTTATTTTTATTTCGGCATGTGTGTTTGTGTGAGCGTGAGTTTATGCGCTCCACATGCATGTTGGGGGCCTGTGCAGGCCGGAAGAGGCTGTCACACTAGCTAGAGCTGGAGCCACCTGACGTGGGTGCCGGGACAGAGCCTGGGTCCTTTGCAGGCACAGCAAACGCTCTCAACCGCTGAGCCTTTAGCCCCAAAGCCTGCTTTTTGTATGGGGTGTCCCCTTCTGTGTAATGCTGTTATTACACACATGTGTTTCTGTGAGTGACTAAGCTATCAAGTCACTTTTCTCTGGGCCTAGGAGACATATTCTTAACTGTTGAACCTTCATTGTGCTTACTGTTCTTTAAATGATTTTTTAATTATATGTGTTTATGTGAGTGCTGTTTTTTAAATAAAATTTTTTAATTATATGTATTTATGTGAGCGAGTACATGTATGTGCGTGTGTGCGTGTACTCTTGCTTGTACACATGCGTGTGTGTGTGTGTGTGTGTTTCAAGCCCACGCTGTGGCACGTGTGTGGAGGTCAGAGGATAACTTTCAGTAGTCACTTCTTTACTGTGAGTGTTTGCACTCTTCCTTATTCCCAAGTTCCTCCCCCTGCCCCACCCTACCCTCACAGCCTCCTGCTCCTTTTGAAGTGAGGACTCCTGCAGCCCAGGATGGCCTCAAACTTGAGGGGTAAGAAATGTGACCTAGAACTTTAAAAAAAAAAAAAAAAAAAAACGTTAAAAGATTGGTTTATTTTTTATTTTACTTGTATGAGGGTTTCCCCTATGTGTTTGTGCACGTGCGCCTGCCCGAGTGCGCCTGCCCGCGTGCGCCTGTAGTGCCTTGTATGTGCTTGCTATCCAAGGAAGCCATAAAAGGCATCAGATTTCCTGAACTAGAGGCCAGCTTTTGTCTTAAAGAAAAGCGTATGTTTACATTTGACTGTTAGTATTTCGTCTCTTAGGCCCTGCCCCCCAGGACGGAGAAGATGGACGCAGACCAGGACTGGCCCAGCGTGTACCCTGTTGCAGCGCCCTTTAAGCCCTCGGCTGTCCCTCTGCCTGTTCGAATGGGGTATCCCGTGAAGAAGGGCGTGCCCATGACAAAGGAGGGGAATCTCGAGCTTTTAAAGGTGTGTGGCTGGTTCAGGGCTCATCCCCTCCCCACCCCACCCCTCGTGTGCAGCAGAGGGAGCCGCTGCTTAGGGTCAGATCTTTTCTTTGGGGACAGTGGCTATTGCTCGAGATAAGAAAGACCCAGTCGTGGGCCTTTGAGAAGACTGAGCAGTCCCGTGGCTTCCCTGTGGCCTTGTCTAGTAACCGCAAGTGGAACTCAGGAGGCCAAAAGAAACGGATGCTGAAAATCAGGAAGTTCAGATTCCACTCGGGTGATTGACTTTCGTTCTTTTGAGACAAGAAGCCGGGGTCTGGAGTGGCCTTGAATATCTATCTTCTGATCCTCCTGGCTCCACCTCCCAAGTGCTAGAGTTGGAAAGCTTTGCTGAAAGAGAAGGGAGGAGCTGAGCAGGGCAAGGGGTGCCGGGCCCAGCAGTGGGGGGTGAGACTGGCCAAGGAGAGACCTCCAGAGGCAAGAAAGCAAACGGCGACGGCAGGTCCTCAGAGAAGAGCTCAGTGTGGACACCTGTCCCGAGCCAGTGCGACACCGACGTGTGCGCAGCTGCAGCAGCTGCTGTTTTTCCCTTGCGTGACCCTGAGATCCGTGTTTTCATGTCTCAGGGTACGAGAACCACCACAAAAGGCCGTCCATCCCATCGTCCCAATGTCAGCCCCCTTCGCCTGGATTGTAAATAGTGTGTCCCGACCAACGGTCAGCATTGTTGGCAGGTTTTAGCCTTCTGCTTTTTACTTTTCCTTTGCAAATGAGTTTAAGATGAATTGCTTTTTACATACTTAGCGTTATCATTGAAAAGTAAGCTGGTGGGGGCTGCAGAGACGGCTCAGCAATTATGAGGACCTGGGTTTGACTCCCAGCACTGAAGGGCAGCTCACGACTGTCTGACTCCAGTCCCCAGGGAGGCAGTGCCCACCGGCATGCCCAGAGCTTGTGTCCACATGCAGGCAGAACACATAAAATTGAAAATAAGTTTTTTTTAAGATAGAGCTCTTAAGATTCATTTTAAAAATGTACTGGTAAAAGTTACCTGTGAAGGAATCAAATCTTTGGCCTTTCCTGAACGTTGTATAACTTCCCGCTTCACTCTGCCAGCTGAGTGTGTTCCTCATGTCACTGATCACTGAACTCCCCGTGAACACGGGCATGGGGCATGCTTTCAGTGCCACACTTGGGAGGCTGAGGCTGGAGGGCCAGGTGTTGATAGCAAGTCCCAGGCCAGCCTGGCCTACGGGAGACTGCTTCTCAAAAAACTGATTAATAAATAGTCAATTGTCAAGTCAAGACTTGCTACTTCGTTCAGTTTATAAAGTTCTTATGTGCAAAGCAAAAATAATAATATACCAGGTTTCTTGGAGAATTAGGTGATTGACAGATTGCTGTCCTTAATGCTTTCAAAATTTTTATTTTTATTTTTAAGACGGTTTTGCTCAGGATGACCTTGACTTCATGACCTCCCTGCTTCGGTCTCTGAGTGCTGGCGTTGCAGGTGTGAGCTGACATGCTCTGTTTGCCTCCAGTGTTATAGTGGAGCTGCACGAGGACTGGAGATACGTGAAAGGAAACCCGTGGACGTGTCAACTTTTTGACATGATTGCGGAGTTGATGTCTGCTGATGCTGGAAGAGCTGTTGAGGGTTACTTAGATTGTGTACTGGGCTGTGGTTGTTTGTAAGAATACGACCCTTCCCTGTGTTTATGACAGAACTGGCAACATTACCTCTAGGCCCAGCTGCTCAGGAGGCTGAAGCAGGAGAGCCCCGTGAGCTTAGGAGTTTGCAATTACCAGAAAACATAGTAAGACTCCAGTTCACAAAAACAGACAAAAAGCGGGTGGAGGTAGGAAATTTGGTTGTAATTTATTCTTTTTAAAACATCTATCTCTGTTTTAGATCCCAAATTTCCTGCATTTGACTCCTGTGGCAATTAAAAGGCACTGTGAAGCTCTGAAAGGTACGCTTTCTTCTGGGAACGTGCTGCTGACTTTGAACACAGCAGAGGATCTGAGGTCTAATGAGACAACCTCGCGTTCTGAGTCACTGTCTTTTTCTTAACTTTGGTTATGTTAGAGGATTTTGTTCTTGTTTGCTGGTTAGCTCAGGTTGCAGCCAAGGTAGCCAGAAATTCACTGCATTCCTCCTCCTCCTCCTCACTCAGCCTGTTACCGCCTCCCCGCCCCTCCCACTACACAAAGATTTGTAAGTCCTTTAAGATGCTAAGTGAAAGGGGGGCTTATGTCTCTTACTATTATTACTGTCTTGAGTGTGGACGTTTTGCCTGCCTGTGTGTTTGTGCTCTGTGTGCATGCTTGGTGCCCAAGGAGGCCAGAAGGGCATCAGATCTGTAACGAGTTAAGATGGTGTCAGCCACCACTGGGTGCTGGGAACCAAACCTGGGTGCTGGGAACCTTCCCTCCAGAGAAACAGCCAGTGCACTCAACTGCACAGCCACACCTCACAGCCCTTTCATAAGTACTTTTTGCTGAGTACTACAGGGTCAGAAAAAATAAAAAGGGGTTGAAACCAAGGCATGGTTATGCACACTGTAATCTTCGCACTGTGTAGGCTGAGCCAGGAGGATGGGCAGTTTGAAGCTAGCCTGGTCTGTCACAATATCAAAAATCTAAACTAACAAGACAAAAAGAAGCGAAAAACAAAGCCAGATATTTTTAAATTACCAGCTGGTAGGCAGACTGTTAGCCTGGTTCCGTTTTATGTTTAGAAAACAAACATCATGCAGAGTGTTTAATGGCTGAGCAGGAGCAGGCGGCCAGTCTAACTGTCAGAGTGTGAGGCTCAGGTTGACTTTGTGTTGGTGTCTGCTGCCCTTTGCTCTGGCATGGCCTGACGTGGCTCTGCCCTAAATACTGCCCTTCAGCTCAGTCTGTTCTTCCAAAGCTGCATTGCTGCATTTGGTCACATTCTTGATCTTCCGTAAAATGAGTGAGTTCAGACGTGGAAGTATATAGTGTAAAAACACATGATTTGCTTATTTTGCCACTCGTGCACGCAACATATTTTTGTCATATTCGGCTCAGCCCCACCTGATACTCCTCCCACTCCCAGTTTGTGACTGACTTGCTTATTTGCTTGCTTGTTTGTTTACGACTATTGGTAGATGATGGTGTTGAGGTGGGTTTTTGTTTTTGATTTTTTTGGTCAAAGATGTTCCAGAGACAGAGGTCTGGCTTGCACTGGTCCGTTTTACTCTGCCGGTGTACTCATGGTGTGGGCTCACCTGCTGGAGCATGGGCTGACCTGTAGGGGTGAGGAAATGGGATTTTTAGCTGGGGTTGGGCACTCCCCCCCCCCCCCCCCCGATTCCATGGGGCCACGGCTGCTGAGCCATCGTGAGCACAGCGATCTTCCGTGTCCACACACTGTCACCGTGCTCTGCCCTGGACCTTGGCTTTGGTCTTCCACGCCCACGGCTATGGTGGTCACTAGGCCTGGGAGCGGTGGTGTGACAGATGTTGCAGTTGCTGCCCAGCGTTCCTCAGGCGCTTGGGCGGGTGTGAGCGTGCTTTAACGTGGTTCCCTGCACAGAGCTGCTTTGGTGAGGTCCTCGCCTGCCCTCGTTTACGGGTATGGAGATGTGAATTCAGAGCGCAGTGTCCCTGTGTCCTGGAGTCACGTATGTTCCACTCGTGGCTTCTTGACCAGGTTTACAGGATCAGGCCCACGCCTCCTCCCGTGGCCTTTAGCCCAGTCAGAGTGGTTGGCTACGTGCGGGGTGTGCGTCACTTTGCACGCATGCGTGTCTCGCCACCTCATTTCTTCTCATAACTTGGCTCACGGCTGAAGAGAGTGTTGATGGCTGCCCACCCCAGCCGTACACGGCAGCTTCTGTTAACTGGCCGTTGGGGGGAGTGCTTCCTGCTCGTCGCCGCTGTAACGCCTCTGTGTGAACCGCTCGTCAGCAGCACCAGAAGCTTACTGTCAGGGACTTCTACAGCGGTGACAGCCCATCCCTCGGTCTCCGGGCACCCTGACAACACTGGGCTGACTGTCCATACGTGAGTCCTGCTGAGAGTGGGGCCAGTGCTTGCTGCAGAGGAAGAAAGCACAGGAGACTGCAGAGAGTACTGCCTCACCACTGACCGAGGAGGAGGGCTAGACCTCAGGAGCGGGGCTAGACCTCAGCACAGGCTAGACCTCAGGAGCGGGCCTAGACCTCAGCACAGGCTAGACCTCAGGAGTGGGGGCTAGACCTCA